AACCGAGGAGAACCGAGGAGAATGAAACCCCCCCCCAAAGAGAACCGAGCAGAACCGAGGAAAGAATCGAGGAAAACCGAAAGGAATCGAGGACGCATATTTTCAGAATCGAGGCGAACCGAGGTCAATCGAGGCGTGGACCGAGGCGGACCGAGGCGGATTTCGTCCGACCTAGGCTCCCAGTCAGGATCTCGAGTGAATTTCTGATCTGAAATCAAATTTCCCAAGAATTTCCTACCCAAACCTTACTTTTCGCGTAATCTGATAGTCAAAACCAAAATGCGGGATTTTCTGGGGTTCTGCATTCTGCTGATTCACACAAACCAAACTGGCAAGCACTGCGCGCTGCTGTTGCTGCTGTTTTTGCTTTTTCTGCTGTTGGTTGCAAACCCCACACCCATGCACACTCTCTGCCAGTCTGAGAACACAAGCCTGCCAAAGGCCAACGCAGCCTGTGCGCAAAGCCAGCTCACACCTGCAAGCAGGGACGGTGGGTCAAGAGTTAAGGCAAGAAGTTCCAGGGTTTAGGGTTGAGGCTGTAGGGGCTTTGAGGAATACTTGTATCAGGCAGAAAAGCAGTCAGCTCAGCTGCGCACATGTTCATGCCATGAATCTATTGGCAACAGCATGTCAGCAAGTGTAGTGCGGAGCTGCGGAGGCTTGCACATCCGAAAAGGAGCCTCCAGCAACTTGCGCCCACCAGGAGAAGCAGTAAAGGCTTCAACTCAGCAAAGCACAGGACCAGACATGCGAAGCAAAAGCGTCTGCGCATCATGAATTCTCCTGTTGCTTGAAGAAAGGTCTGAGGCTATGGCAGGATCTGAGCACGCAAGAGTTGTCAAGGGCCTTAGCCGGTGTCTTTCACGCTCCAGGCACACAAAAAGCCAACGCTTCAGAGCCTACGTCTTCAACGCAAAGGATGCCTGGGATCCTGCGCAGCCCCGGAACAGTGCAAAGTGACTAAGCGACAGCTGCAATATTCTGTCCTTGACAGAGGCAGGCGTTAATCAAGTCGATGATGCTGTTGAGACATCACCTGTCATACCACGGAATGCGCAAATGACTTCACATCGCCTGAAACGAAAACATGGAAAGCGCACCCTCCCAGAAACGGTGCGAAAAATGAGGCCATGGCACTCAAGTCACAAGAGTCTCTGACTGCCTGTCAGCCTGTTTTAAGCGCAACCTCTCAGACACCAGCTCATGGCATTCAGGGTCTGCATGTATTACTATCATGGCTTCCAGCACCAAAGTTTTGAACTTACATGAGTCCAGCTGACATGACAGGATTGGCCCAGCAAACCAAAACTCATTCGCAACTCACAACTCTTCTCAGAGCACGCATTCAAACCAAAACTCGTGCACATTTTTCTGAGAGCACAACTCAAAACATGCTATGCTGTTGCGGCATGTTGCAAGCTGACAAGCACGCAGCGCAGGACGCAGGTCCCAAGACACGCAAGAAGGGAAGCTTTCTCAAAAAGCATTCTTTAGTGGTAGGGGCTTCAGGCATTATTTGAATCGGAACTGGAATCCGAAGAAGAAGCGCTTGAGCTATCACTGTCACTGGAAGTTGACGACTCTGGATCCGACGCAGCTTCATCTGATGGAGGAGCCGCACCCGACCCGCGCCCTCTAGCGCTGCCCTCTCCCCTGCTCTGACCCCTGCCTTCACCCTTGCATCCCTTGCGACCCCTGCCTCTGGACTTGGGCTTAGGCTTCGGTTTGGGCTTGGGCGTGTTGACTCGAGCACGCTTTGCAGGAGGGTCTGGCATATCCTCATCATCCGTGAGAACACGGTCTTCTGCTGGCTTGTTTGCGTCCAAATCAAACATGGAAGGCAGATCATTCGGAATGTGCTTTCTAAGGGCTTGATGGCTCTCCTTAGTTCTGCAAGTCCAGGCTTGGCTAACCCACCACTTCAGCATTCTAATGGCTTTCAACCTGCTATCTTCATCCGTGTAATTCATGGTCCACGTGCAAATTGCGCGACTTCCTGAAGCTGTTTTTGTTGAGTGAGAACGCCGCGGGCAATCACACTGATAGCCCAGCCGATAGCCCCCGCCTTTCAATTTATTCCTTGTGCCTTTGAAGCTGACACACCCCCAACGGAAAGAAGTGTCCAACTTAAAGCCTCCACCCCTGCGCAATGATTGTCTCACAAGCTGAGCTCGGGTAGCCCAATCAAACACCTCATCACCTGCGTCTGCTTGCATCAGCACAGCCTGCAGCTGTGCCTCATCCAAGTTGTTCATGGCAGAATAGAACGCACGAGGCATGAGATGTGGAATCGAATTAATTCCCATGGACAACAACTGCTCCCTGTGAGAAGCATCTTGGACTAGTACCAAGGACAGCATGTACTCACGATCTATGGTCTTGCGGCTGTTTGCAAGCACAAGTGTCTTGGCTGCAGAACACTGCCCTGCTGTGAAGGGCCCATACGCTGGAGGAACCGTATCTTTAGCACTCACACGCAATAACTCCCAACCCTGACTAGCCAATGAGGGCATCAAGGCTGCTGCTGACCGTTGACTGGGAACTGTGTCTTCCTCCAACGACAATAAAGCTTCAGGCCCGGATAAAACTTGTGTGACTTTCAAAGCGGCCAGACCTTTCGCTGTCAACTGGCACAAGGAATCATTTTGGCAAGCATATTCTTTGTCTAGCATGAACTTCAAAGCTTCCTCATCAAGCTCATCAGCCACAACATGATTGTCTGTAGAGGGCAACGCTCTAGCAACGTACAATTTGGAAACGCTAGAACGCAAATAGTCTTCTTCCAAGTCTTCAACACCTTCGAAAACATTGCCGCAAAAGCCGCCGTGAGGCTACCTGGTTTTGGCCTCCAAGCACAACAACTTTGCAAAGCTTTCTCCGTCAGCAGTCGGGACCAAGCAGCATCACCGGGCAGTGGTTCGAGAGATACTTCCAAACCCTTATCTTCAGGACTCATTTGCACAATCTCATGCTGGGAAACAGCGACATCTGAAGCTTGCAAATGTTTGCTGGTATCGCAAAGAGCAAACTTCCTGGCTGCTGGCCTGATGTTCAAGACTTGAAAAGCAATGTAGCCATGATCTAGCGCGTCAACGGACTAAGCTGCTCCTGCTGCCCCGTCCCCGGAAACCTCAACACCATCCTGCTCACCATCACACTGAAGCTGGCGCAAACTAAGGTCATCACCATCATCATCATCATCATCACGTTTTGGCACATCATACACAGACAGGGCCGGCAAAATAACAGCCACGAGAAAGTCATCAACATCTGACTTTTTTAGAGTATAGAAAGTGCCTGGCATGTGGTTGTTGCGAAACTTCTCCAGAAGGAGATGCTGCTGCAGCTGTTGCAGAGACGAATCCTCCGCTCTGCCCCCGCCACCACCTCCACCCCCGCCTGACTTCTTGAAAGCAGGCAAGCTCGGCAAGAACTGGGAAGGAATGTCTAAGTGGTACACAATTTGCTTGGCTACTTTGTCGAATGTTTTCGTGCTACCCAACAACTCAAACTGCCCGACCTGAGTTTCGACTGTTGTCCCTGCAACAACATCCACAATGTCTGGGTGACCCGCTAACCCCAAGCGTGGTAATAACTTTAAGGGGTGGTAGATGTTAGCACACAGGCCAGCAGACTCCTTAAGTAAATCAGAGCTGGCTGAAAGCTGCTGCAGGAAACCTGGGGATCTGTGGGCCCAACTTACTGCGACACCGCCTGCGTGAGGCGCGTGCTTCAGTTGCTTGTGTGTCTGCGCATGAAGTCTCTCTACGCTGATTTCGTTAACCGGAACGAAAAGCAATCGCCCAGCCTCACGCATGAGCAATGGCAGTTGCTGCCGTGGAGTACCGCTTATGAAATCAACAACTTCATCATGCAGAGGGCCTTCGTTACAGAAAGCACGGGTGAGAGCATGCGCTTGGGCCTTTACCTCATCGGACATTTGCAACCATTGCTGATAGCCAGACATGGCAGCAGCCCGGGCCATGGACTCAGTAGCATGACTGAGACCACAAAATACACGCGGTGTGCGTTCCCAACATGTTAACTCAGCCTGCGCAGCAAAAACGACATGCTGACGCGCAGCTTGGCAATCAGCAAGGATACGGGCCCTTTCATCTGGCGCGCAACCCTGCAAAGAGCCTCCTATTTCAGCTAGCTCTAGGCCCACCATGTTTTCAATCCACCGAGAAAATTGTCCACAAGCAATTTCTGCAGCACGAAAACTAGTCATCGGGCAGTGCACAATTTGTCTGGGCATTTGCAATCGCTTAGCAAGCTCATGGCCTCGAGGACCCCAGCCCTGGCTCGAAAGATCATGACATGGGCAGGTTTGCAACCAGTTGATCATGTGAGCAACAATGTTGGCTATCTTGGAGAACATGCGCTGCCAGGACCAAAAGAAATCCGACTTACATGCTTTGGAGGCGAGGGACACATTGGGGCCTTCAGGCTTCTGACTGTGGGGTCTTGGTTGCTGGTGCTGGCCTTCCTGCGCAGGCTCTTGCAAACCAGGATTATTTTGCTGCTGTCTGAAATGCAATTTCTCATCATCCCAAAATCTCCTCAGCGGGAACTCATACTCGAGCAAAGCTTTATTGCATGCTGCAAGAGACCCAAACCGCCACCCAACAAGAGTTTCCTCAAGACTCTCCTCAAGCTTCGCTCGCCACGCTTGCCCGGCAGGACTTGTCAAGCAGGATGCTACAAAACGCTGCCGAAAAAAATTGGCTTTCAAGCAGTTCACCAAAGCGTTCATGCCCGGATACACCTCTTCCCAGAATGATGGCATGGCATCGGCAATGCCTTTAGTGCAATTGTTGATAAAGTGCTGTAAACCATGGATCCCTAGTGAGCCTTTCAAATCAAACGTATCATCTGGTAAGCCTTCTGCTGCATCCCCATCACTCATGAAAGGGTCGCCTTGCGCAAAACTGAGAAACGCTCGCAAAGACACGGAAGGGGCACGCTGGACCCCAGCTTCTGTACCCTTATCTGTCACAACTGCCGTTGTTTGCAAGCCCAAGGAACGCATTACTTGGAAATCACCCGTCTCTAGAAACAATGCATGCAAAAAGGCATGTAGCTCATGCTGCAAGTCAGCCCTGCCGCTTCCGAGACCCACGGGGGGTAGCACATGGTGTTGGATTACAGCTTGCAATGTTTCTACAAGCGCCCGTTCTTCAGCAACCCTATCTTCATCTAGGTCATCTTCAAACCTCAAGTGACCAAGCTGCTGCAAGCGCCATGCGTTGATACAGACACTTTGCAAGGAATCTGCTGGAATAAAAAAATACTCAATCATAAGCCAATTCACATTTCCTTGGGGGCTGGAGTCCAATAGGAAGAAAAGAGCAGGCGGCGCATCATCAGCAGCATCTTGTTTTTTCAGAAAGTGGGTCGCATGAAATTCGCGCTTGTGCAACATGAACACGCAATCCAGAACAAAACGCATGTGGCCGAGTGTGGCTGCGCTGGGCACAGGAAAACTATCATCTTCCACAACTTGAAGGAAATAGTTGGCCTCACCTCCCAAGCCTCCCCTGAATAGAACATGTAGGCTGGCAATCAGGCTGCTTCTCAAAGCTGTGTCAGACTTGAGGTTGCTACACAACATGACACATCGAATCAAAAAGACTAAGTCATAACGGCGAAGCCCCCAGCGTGTGCATTCGAACATGCCAGAAGCAAGTGCTTCCAAAGCATCCGCATGCTGCTCTAAACTGGACACCATCAATTCCATGCTGACTTGCAGGTCCGCTGCCGGCATGTTGTCGTCCCTATTGCCTAAAGATGCCGCCCAAGACCTGACAGTATCTGACCGCTCGCGAAACTGCCTTGGATGCAGGGCAACCTGAGAGGAAGCAATGTAAGCAGGAAGCCGACCCCAATCCATGTCTTGGGCTGTTGTGAGGCAATGAGTACTTGCAGCTGCTTGGGGGGAAACAATAGCTTTAGGAATGCCGTGAGGCAAGCTTAAATCTGACCAAAGACCACGTGTGATCAAGCAAGCTAGAGGCCGCCAAACCTGAATGCCTACCACTGGCATGCTTTCTTCTGCGCCCAGAAGACCTAATCTCTGAAGTTCTTGCCGGACGGTACACACCTGCTGCGCTGAAGCTGTTGCTTCACCCAAACGCTCTACAAAACCTTGCTGCAACTGGAACAGAGGCCGTTTTGCGCAAACACTGTTTCCTGTAACTACAGCATCCACAGGCTGCTGCAGAGCAATGACATTTTTAATGATGTTGAATGCCATATCTGAACGAGCTGAAAGCAGCCACGCAAGCCTCTGCTCTAGGGATAGCATGGCAAGCACACCGTCAGGAATGATGAAAGAGTGTACGTTTACCACTCCCAGCACCTTGCCCGCAATGTCATCACAAGCAGCACGGTTTAGCCCACTTTGGGATAGGCGAGCATCTACTAACTGCATGGCCCCTGTGGAGTCTGTTGCCGTCAACTTGTTGACGAGACTTTGAAATCTCACCCGCTTCTCTCCAGCATTGCATCGAAATTTGTAGTCAGCATCTCGTCCCCACCGGCCCACTAACCACAACAGTACCATAACCAAACTAGTCAAGCAAGAGACCCTCACCATTGCACGGCGTTGCCTGGCAACTGTCTACACTGCGCAGTACAAATGAGTTACGGTCATGGTGCAGCAACGTTGCATGTATCTTCAAGCTTTGGGCTTACAGCTTGCTGAAAGGGTACTAACGGAAAACGTTGCTTCGAAAATTGTCGTTGCCAAACTATGTCATGTACTGGACTGGAACTTTGCTGTCGCTGTCTCATTCAGGCGAATCAACAAGCCAAGCGAATCACAAAATTGCCAAAAAAAAACTCCTGCAACATGGACATGCGCTCACATCACTCGCAAAAACAGTTTCCCTGCAGGACTGCAGGCTTTCGAAATCAGGAGAGCATAAGAAGTTCAAGGGTTAGGGGCTTACAGTGCTTAAGGCTCAGGGGCAATTAAGGTTTTTTGCCTCGGGTTTTTTTGTATGCCTTGCTATACACGGACAACTATACACAGACTGTACACGTGACTGAAAGCCCCAGGGCGCAGTTGCCTAGCTGCAGGAGAGCAGTCGAGAGCGGCGCCGGACATTGCCGGACATGTAGGGGTAGGGTTGTTATTCCAGGCTACGGTAGCATGGTCAGCATGGTCATGTTCTGGGAACCCAGCAATCCCTAGCAGAGCGGGCCCCGGGGAAAATCACTAGCATACGCTGCTGCTATCTCTGCGGCTCTGGCCCGCACCTCGTCGACTGGCAGGGTGTCCAACAGTTCAACAGAATCTCCAACACTCTGCAGCGATTGCTCGGCGCCATGGCTTCCCAGGATTGTTGCAGACCTAGAAGTTGTCGGCGAACGGTGTATGTGGTGGGGTTGTCCCCTTCGGGGAAACGCTGTGCACTTTGTCAGGCCTCTGTCAGCGTTCGTTGTTTCGAGCTGAGCTCCCACTTTCTTGGGTCGTCTCAGATCTTGCAGTCGGGCTGCTACGTCTCTGCCCACATTCATCTCCACCACGGCGCTCGGCAACTTGGGGATGTGTTCAAGTAGTCCTGCGTCGGATGTCTCTGTCCATGCGTTGATCACTGCTTACATCTGTGGGGACCCCCATCCTTCCGTCACCTCTCTAAGCCGCCGTGCGGCGGACTGCACTGCTCTCTGGTCCTGGTACCTTTTCCCGCTCGTCATACCCAGAACCACCCTTATTGGTCCTGGCCTTCTTCGCGCCGCGAGCGCTCTGATCCAGCGCATGATCGATGGCCGAATTTCTGCCAGCGAGGGTCTCTCTACTGGTTCCACAGAATCGGTGTCATTGCTCCCCCAACATGCATCTTTGGTTCTTCTCCCATGGCCACCATAAGTGTCAGGGCCGGCTCCACGTTCTTCATCTCGTCCACGCTGGCCTGGACATCTCTTCTTCTTCTACGGGCGAAAAGGGCCCTACGACCCTTCCGGAACTGGATCTCTCTTTCATTGTTTCATGAAGGCTATGCGCAGGCGGAGGCCCACGCGAGCTTCAATGCCCAGCCTCTGTTGGGCCGACTTTGTGGACTCCACCCCTCTATGCCCCACAGTCATGGTAGCCAAAGTTGCGGAAATGTGTTAGGGGCCGTATTTGGGAATTGGAGTTTTGGGGTGTGTTGACTGTGAGGACTGGTTAGCACTGTTGACCACCACGTGCCCAGTTGGGGAAAGGTAAATAAGGGGTGTATTGTTTGGTGGCCATGTGGTTTGTGGTGAAACTTTGACACTGGCATGCTGACACAGACTTAGTATTGAGAGACGACTACCAGTTCCACCTGAAACCTTGCTTGTAAACAGACTATTTGACCCCTTGCTTGTTGTGGTGATAGCAGCCGGGAGCCTCCTTGCCTGGTTGCCACTTAACTGGATTGACGGGGGTGGCTATGTGGTATACATACTAAGGTACGGTGGGACTAAATAAGGCTAGGGAGGGGCCTTGTGCTGCGTTATTGCAAGTTGGTGAAGCACTTGTACTCCTCAGGGCTCTCAGTTCTCCTTCTGCAGGTGAACTTCATCCGCTCCCTCTGGCCATCCGTGTAAGTGGCGCTGCAAAAATGTGCACAGTGATGTTGCGTCTTGCCTGCGGTGGTGGCGATCTGCTTCTGTGGCTTCTGTGATGGCCTGCGGGTGTGCTGCTGGCTGGTGTGTGGAGCGATGTCCGTAGTGGAGTGATGTCGGCGGTTGGTGGCTGGCTTGTGACTGTTGCCGCTGTGGTTGTCGGCTTTTCTTGCTGACGGCTCGCTTGCGTTGGTTGTTGTGGTTGTACAGGGTAGCCCCGGACCCACGATGGTTGCTGCAAGTGCTGGTCGGTATTGTGCTGTGGCTGGGTTGTGCCGTTTTGTGGGTGGAATGACCTTCTTCTTCTTCTACAGGCTATACTCACCCCTTACGGGTGAGTCGGGGTTACACCCCGAGCCCGATGGTCCGCTGGTCTGTTGTGCTGGACCGGCTTGGAGTTCACCGGAAATTGACACAGACCCCCCCATCTTCTTCTAACCCCCTTTTCCGGTGCCCTTGCCTGTTTCCCGCGGAAAATGGTCCGACGGGGCTGTTCCCCGAAGAAATGGCTCACTCTAGGCCTGGGAAGGTTAGCAGAAGAATGCGGAAGACCACTCTTAGGGCTCCCTATTTCAGGGTTTTCTTCCACAACGACTCAAGCCGCAAACCTCGTCAGGAGAAACGCGTTTGCTACGTGGCCGAGGAAAGGCTGAAAAGTGATTGTGATCAGCCATCGGTCCATACTTCCCACTAAACTCCGCTCCTCAACAGGCATCAGTCCCTACTTCCCACATCATCACTCTTCCCTGCATCTCACTGCCCATATTGCTGCACTTTACTGAGCAACTGTTTTGCGCTCCGTAGTCCGGCTAATCTGCATTGCCATCCTTGGCCTCTAATTCCCTGCATCCCGCCTCTAAGAGTTTTCAGGAAATTACTCCATCAAACCTGATTAATTAATTTCCTCTCAGACGTGGGCACCGCAAATTATGCATTGGTCACGGTAATGGTTCGGTAGCCGCTCTCCCCCCAGAAAATTTGGTTCCCGGGTTCTGCGGAATGCATGCTGAATTCCCTTACCTGTCCCTCACATGATGCTTTTCTCACATGTTCTGTATGTTCAGCTGGTGCCAATGGGCTCGGTATCTGATTGTAATCATATCCACATCTCAAACTGCAGTCCGCTGACTCTTATGCAGTCTGCTCCCTTGTCTCACGCATCCAGTAACTCAGCCTTCCTTCTGTAGCCATACTTCTCCAAGACTTGTTGTACCCTTTGATACGCTTCAGCCGTACGTATTTCTGGCAACCAGGTTTGTAAGTATGGGCCGTCTTGTTTGCTCCTCCGCTGCCATAAGCAAGACATATGTCCTCATCTCCCTTTGTCATCGCCTCCTACCTCACACCTTCCACTTTGCATTGCACTGCAGCCGCGGACAAAGTTGATGAAAAGGGCTGGTCTTCTCTGACTCCCATTGTCAGTGATGCTCGTCGCTGGGTTGCAGTAAAACTTGGTGCATCCTTTCCGGTTCCTGATGGCTTTCTCTAGCAACTTCTCCGAAAAACCCTTCCTCTTGGGACCCAGATTTCACTTACACAGCCCTGGAGGATTCGTCCAGACCACCCCTCCACAGTACCCCCCTGGAAACAACTTCAAAAAATTTCTTTTTGTCCAATACAATCGGGTTCTCATCACCAGTGACAGCGTGCTCCCAACATATCAAACAGTCAAGCAAGCTCCCCGTTCGAGATCACTGCTCCCCCTTTCAGGACCAAAAATGTTACTGCCGCGGGAGGGCTCGTGTCCCCCGATTTGATTTAAAATGGCAACGGCATGTTGCCCAAGCCCACCCCCCTGAGATGCGCGTCCACTCCCTAGGAAGCCAGGGAAGTCCCCCAACCTCCCAAGGGGCCGGCACCCAGGACCTCCCCAAAGGAGAGGCGGCAGCAGACTTGAGCCAAAATGGCTACGACTCCACCTTCTTCTTCTTCTTCAGGCTCTGCGACTCCACCTCTCTCTCTCTCTCTCCGTCTCTTGCTGTATCTCGACCTACGCAACTTATCGGTTACTAAGGCCGTCGCTACAGACAGTAATTCCCATCTTCTCAACGTTGTCGAGCAGCTGAAAAAGAGGCCTCAAAGAAGCAAACTTGCATAGGTGCAGTCAGAGGCGAGCCTTCTACCTAGCCAGCAGCTGGCTGAGCCAGCAACCCCACCACATGCAGATCCTTGGCGGTTCTTCCGCTGCTGCGACACCAGCATGAGCTGGGAGGCTTAGCTGCCAGCTCGCCGAAATAATTCGGATGTTGGGAGAGTTTCCACAAGCCAGCTTGGATCCAAAGACCCTTGTTGCGCGGGTCAGCCTCGTAGCTGTCATTTCGCCCAACTGAGCAGCTGCAGCCAGACCCCTACATCTGCACAGCCTGGAAGACTCTCTTTTGTATGTCTGCGGTCACCTGCATCCGAGCAGAGTAACATGGTAAAGTGCACACTTTCTCTGCAGACTCTGAGCCTGCACCACGAAGCCAACACCCCACAAGCTCCAGCCCAGAATGTCTCGCCAGGAAACCTGATGTGACTGAGATCGCAACACGAATGCCGACGATGTTCTTCCCCAGCCCAATCCTGTAACAAAGAGGGTGAAAGCGCACTGCAACTTAGGCAGTTCAGAGCACCCCGCTAAACAGTCAGAAGAGAATGGAGCATCAGAACAAGAGGAACTAACCCACCCAACAGAGAATTGCGATTTAGAGTTACGCTTGACGTAGCAACCCAGCTCATGTTTGAGGATGAAACTGATTGAGAGCAGCCCAGTTATTCAACACATTTCACAACCTTTTTCTGGCTTGGCTTCTTCCAAAGAGCGGCAGACAAGATGCAAAACCACGCAGGGCCATGCCCTAGAATCATGAGACGGCTTGCATACGCGGCCTCTCTCTGCATTTCAAGGCACCCGAATCTCTTCTTGCGGTTGGGACAAGCCTTCTTCAAGCTGGGCCTGCAAATCATTTGGATGATATGGGTGCTCCCAATCCGCTCATCAATTGGCCTCCTTGACCGCTGGCTTGACATTTGAAAGGTATACGGGGAGGGCAGTGAGCAGAATCCAGAGCGCCTGTCAGAGTTTCTCTACGCTCGGCCAAGTCGACTTAAAGCGACCTGGACGGCCCAGAAGATGAAAAACTTGCCAGGTTGCATCTTCACCTCGCGCCCAGCGATCCTTTCTTTTCTTAAGGCTAATGCAGCACCAGCCTTATCAAATCGGCTGTCACCACCATCATGAAGCACTCGCCACAGGAGAAAACCTTCTCACATCTCCCCAGCAAATACGGCAAATGCAGCATCTTTGGGTCTGCGAACACTTGCTTTTGCGAATGCTCAGGGGGTCCCGGCTGCCGAGACGCAGTGCCCAGGCCTGAAGCTCTCCACACCACGCATGTTCAACCCCCCACACACTCCCCACACCTCGCATGAGCATGATAGAAATCAGTATGTTCTGCCAAGGGCCGCGCAATCACTAGAGCAGAGTTGACTTTACACCTGAACTCTGAATTCTCAAGACACTCACAATCACTTAGCATGAAGCCGGCGAAGCAGGTGGGGCATGCACAAAAAGGCGTGGCCTTGTGGTTCGCCCACCGGCTCGGAAGGAGAGGAGGACGCAAAGCACGTAGGTCAGGCTTTGCAGGGCGAATGTAAATCAGCTGAGATTCAACCAGGTGCATGTGCCACACCTTGCAGACACGTCGTAGAACTTCTCTGTTTGGAGAGCAGCTGCCACTGCAAAGCAAGCAAATTGGACCTGCAGTCGCCACGGAAACTGAGCAACGTGGCCCTAGGATGTCCTATAGGAACGTGAGGCTCCAACTGACGCATCCACGGCAGCCACCTTCCACGCATCTTGGCAAGAGCAGGACACTTGAATGGATCGGCGGTTGGGGCCAAGCCTGGCCAAGTGGGCCGAGAGAGCTCATCGGCATGCCCATTCTAACGGGGGCAGGCAGGCCCCTTACAAGAGCCAGGGGCCGACCTATCATTGCCCTTGCTGCAAGCCGCAATGAATGAGCCAGCTCTGCTCAGAATTCTGCAGCAAGGCGTGACCGCAAATCTTCACAGTGGTCGTGAGGCCTGTTCCTGCCCTCTGATGATCTAATCCTTGTGCCTTCTCTTGCAGTAGTTTCTGACAACGCCAGGATTCCTGTCTTGGTAGCTTTCCAGAAGCAGGAAAGGTGGTCCCAAATCACTCCAAAGATCTCCAAAGCAATGCGAAGCCCAAGCAAGGTTCTTTGGCTGGCGCGGTGCCTGCTCTGAAAATTCACTACTCCTGCCGCGCTCACTGGGACTCAACTTCAGCAGCACCTGTCAAACGGGTGATCAGAGCTGGACTTTGAGAGGCGTAACTCCACATTAGCGACAAGTACTCCCAACTTTTCTCTGTCAAGCGCCACGTGCCAGGGTTTCCACATGTTTCTGTACAATCCGAGCCCCTTAAAGTCCCAGCTGTGCCGGCAGATCGGTGAACTTCTCTCCGAAAGTTGCCTCCTGAACACACATCCCAATGGTTGCCATCATGGCGAGGCGTCCATTATTCAGCTCTTTTGTCTTCATGT